TTTCGATGTCCAGTTTTTCCCATAAACATTGTACATTTTTGGTATACATCATTAAAAAATATACATGTTTAATATTTTTTAAACACATACTTAAAAATATGAAGTACATGCTTAGCATTTTTTTAAACATATATTTTTCATGTCTAATTTCCATACGCAATGTACATTTTCTGTATACATGAGAAACTTTTTTTATACACGATTAACATTTGAAAAATGCATGATCAACATTTTTTTTATGTAAACATATTTTTATAATAGACACAATGTATTTTCAATTTTTCGAAATATAAGGAAAAGTAGAAAAAGGGAAAAACCGAAGCGAAAATCTGAAAAAGGGGCATAAAGAAGGAAGAAATACCTACGTGGGCCTACCCATTTATGGCGATCCCTGAATCGCCCGATTTTTACCACGCCCTCAAAAAAAAATCTGGGTACCAAATTTTGCGCGGGTAACCAAATCGGCTGAATCGCTGGGAAGGGCAAGAAACATACTGAGCCGTCCAGTTCAACGCCCAATCGGCCTCATCTTTGACGTCACACAGATTTTGTCATCGTTTTATAAGGGTGTGTCTAGGAATCAGTCGACTGAGACTTCGCAAAGTCTCAGTCGAATGATGTCACCTAGAGATGATTTGGCCCGTTTTGCCTCCCTGGATAGTGGGTTCTAATTCCCCCGTTATGGGCTTCAGTTCTGGGCTTTTCTTTGTCTTTTTATTGGTTTGGGCTGTTTGTTTGTTTGTCTTTTTTGCTAAAATGAAAAAAAACTACAGCCCAGAAAGAGACAGCTAAAAACGCTATTCTGTACCTAAACGACGAGAATTCCTTCAGTTCCCTGTTTGTTTGTTTGTCTTGTTTGCATGGACAAGTCAGCTTGGTCTGTGTGTGTGCGCACTTTGGTTAGAGTTGGGTTCAATTAGTGAAAACAATCAGCTCCGTTCATCAGTTATAACAAAATCAGAGGTGCTCAGAACCTGACGGCGGCTACTTAAAAAAGTGATCAGAAGCTACTTTGAAATTTTTCAGCCACTTCATTTCTTATTAGACACATTGAAAACTGCCCAAGAAAAAAGGGGAACCCTCCATTTCGGAGCATCCAAAATTTGGGCTCCGCTCGAGCAAACACACAACACAGGCAGAACAAAAAAAAAATCATTGGCACCTTAGTCGCTACTTTGACATTTGGGCTACTCTCTTGCGTTGGGACATCTCTATGAATGGTAATTTTGTCACACATAGGTGAACCCTAGAGAGAAAATTAAGGTAGGGGTGCTGAATTTCGGCGCACAGACACAACGACGCGAATTGATTTACTTGGGCAAGTAGGTTGATTACATGCTCCGCAGGGCGCGAGTAGGCTGGAGTTGCACCAGTGTGCCCATGGATCTCAACGCCGACGACCTGCGTCGCAGACACCTGAGGTATGGACCCCATGTACGACCTTCTCTCGTCCTCCCCCCCCCTCCCCCCTCTCGGTGTCTAAATTTAAACAGTGACGGCTGGATATTTCTAGGAGAACGTTAGAAGTTGAGGATTGGGGCCACATTCCAGTGACTTGAGAGATCCAAGGCCACACCAGTGCGACTTCCCGCTGTCCCTTCCAAGAAAACAAAGTCTAGATACAGCGATGTTGAAAAGACATGTTGTTGCAGTCGAGGGGTGACACTTGCAGTTGCATGCCTAGTGTACGCATGCAACTACACCCCGAGCAAAACAAAGTACAGTTCATCGTATTGGAAGACATGCAATTGCAGTAGGGGACGGTGCTTGCAGTTGCAAGGCTAGTGTACACATGCAATTGCACCCCCTCTCCCGATGCCCTCTGAAAAAACAGAAGTCCAGTTCAACCATGTTGGAAGAGCCGCGCATGGCATCACATGTCCAGGAGGTCGACATGCAATTGTGGGACTAAACGAGTTAGAAAACCCACCCTCAGTGATTTGTGTGATGGCTTGATCAGGGATCTACATGAATTGTAGTCGGATACTGACACTCGCAGTTGCAGGTCTAGTGGCAGACATGCAATTGCAGTCTACATGGCTCGCATGCAGTTGCAACTCAAGGAATGGGCATGCAATTGGCACCCAACAAAAATAAAAATACATCCTTATTGTCACTACGGCGGCGGTGACACACAAGACAAGCTATAATCCATATGAAATGCAGCTCGGGGTGGACATGAATTGCAATCGGGTGCCGACGCTCACAATTGCGAGTCTTGTGGCAGACATGCAATTGCAGTTGACATGGCCCGCATGCAGTTGCAACTCAGGGGATGGGCATGCAATTGGCACCCAAAAAAATTAAAAACAAAAATGCATCCATGTCGTCACTCCGGTGGCGGCACACAAGACAAGCTATACACATATGAAAATGCAGCTCAGGGGTGGACATGAATTGCAAGTGGTTGCAACACATGCAATTGCGAGTCTAGTGGCAGACATGCAATTGCAGTCGACATGGCTCGCATGCAACTGCAACTCAGGGAATGGGCATGCAACTGGCACCCGAAAAATGCATCATTATCGTCACCCTGGCGGCGGCACACAAGATAAGTTATAACCCATATGAAAAATTAAGCTCGAGGGTGGACATAAATTGCAGTCGGGTGTCAACACTTGCAGTTGTCAGTCTAGTGGCAAACATGCAATTGCAATCGATAAGGCCCGCATACGGTTGCAACTCAGGGAATGGGCATACAATTGGCTCCCAAAAAATAAAAAATAAAAATGAATCCGGCGACATAGAAGACAAGCTATAACCCATATGAAAATACAGCCAGGGGTGGACATGAATTGCAGTCGGATGACGACACTTGTAGTTGCGAGTCTAGTGACAAACATGCAATTGCAGTCAACATGGCCCGCATGCAGTTGCAACTTAGGGAATAGGCATGCAACTGGCACCCAAAAATGCATCCTTATCGTCACCCCGGCAGTGGCGGCACACAAGATAAGCTATAACCCATATGAAAATTTAAGCTCAGGGGTGGACATGAATTGTAGTTGGGTGTCGACACTTGCAGTTGCGAGTCTAGTGGCAGACATGCAATTGCAATAGACAAGGCCCACATGCAGTTGCTACTCAGGGAATGGGCATACAAATAGCTCCCAAAAAATAAAAAATAAAAATGAATCCTAGTCGTCATTCCGCCGGCGGCGGCACACAAGACAAGCTATAACCCATATGAAAATGCAGCCAGTGATGGACATGAATTGCAGTCGGGTGTCGACACTTGCAATTGCGAGTCTAGTGACAAACATGCAATTGCAGTCAGTGGCTAAGCCACGTCTAGGCTGTGTAGTCACTTGACTACACAGCTCTTTGGCATAAAACGTAATAGATCAAGTATAAATCATGCGAAAAAATATAAAATTATTATATTTGACTGCACAACTTTAAAGTGACTACACATAATTTTTATTCCTAGCACCACCACTGATTGTAGTCGACATGGCCCGCATGCAATTGCAACTTAGTGAATGGGCATGCAACAGGCACCCAAAAAATAAAAAATAAAAAGCATCCTTGTCGTCACTCCGGTGGTGGCACACAAGACAAGCTATAACCCAAATGAAAATGCAGCTCAGGGATGAACATGAATTGCAGTCGGATGCCGACCCTTGCAGTTGCGAGTCTAGTGGTAGATATGCAATTATAGTCGACATGGTCCGCATGCAGTTGCAACTCAGGGAATGGGAATGCAACTGGCACCCAAAAAATAAAAAATAAAAATGAATACTTGTCGTTACTCCGACGTCGGCGGCACACACAAGACAAGCTATAGCCCATATGAAAATGCAGCTCAGGGTGTGGACGTGCAATTGGCGCTCCCTCTCTCTAGTTTTTAGATGCGTTGTGACCCTTTCAATTGCAGTCGGCATGATTACGTGCAGATGTTGTGCAACAAAAAAATTAGTAAAAATGTTGAAAAATGAATATGCTCGTTTATAGACTACTACAATAACAAAAACACACAGACTTTGTCTTCCACGTCTAGTTCAAAAAACTTGCATGTGGCCATGTGAGAGAGATGAACGAACTTGCATGTGGCTATGTGAGAGAGATGAACGGCCAGCAGGAGAAAATGGGATCGTATTGCTCGCTCCTGTCCCCAGGCAAATACTAGCACCGGAAAAAAGCCCAGCCTAGAAGAAAGCCTAAAAAGAAGAAAAGGCAAAAAACAAAGAAAAAGCATACAACGCCCGTCACGGTCAGCCCATAGCGTATCCCTGTCCAACACAGACAAAAAGGCGAAAAGGAAGGAAAAGAAAAAGATAACGGGCCGGTCGCACCACTAGAACAGGCTGATACTTCAATACAAGACATCAGCGATCGTTTAAATCTCGAAACGATCCAACGAACCGGGGCATCGACTGAGACTTCGCTAAAACTCAGTCGACTGAGTTTTAGCGGTCCCCGTTTTATAATCCCCGATTCCGAACGAATCACAAAGGCGGCTGATTCACGTTCCTACAGCCGAACCGACTCGTGAACACTTGGTCCATAAATACTGCTCCTACGCGCATCCATCAACATCAAGCCGAGGTGTTCGTGTCGACACGATGGCCGCCGACCGTCTCTCCGCTCTCCCCGACGATTTGCTGCAGCACATCCTATCATTCGCGCCCGAGCGGGAGGCCGCTGCCAGCGCCGTCCTCTCGCGCCGATGGCGCCCTCTGTGGCGCCGAGAGAGCGCCCTCGACCTGGACATCAGGCCCTACATGGCCGCCGACGAGGGTCAAGACCTCCGCAACAGCCCTTCGCCGCTGGACGCCCTCTTGAGCGACGCCGTCGCCGCACTCGCCGCCTTCCCCCGACGCGGCGGCGGCACGGTCCTCAAGAGGCTCACGCTCTTCCTGGACTTAAACGACGTCGACAGCTCGTATGACAGTGTGGACGACCCCGAACCTGTAGACGACGGCAGGGTCGCCGGCCTCCTCGCTGACCCCGCAGCGGCCGGACTGGAAGAGGTCCTCATCGGCTGCGAGCACGGCCGTATGCGGACGACGACCTATGGCCTGCCGCTGGCCTCCATGGCGTGCGCCGCCACGCTCCGTGTGCTTGAGCTCGAGAGCTGCAACTTCGAGCCGCCGTTGTCCCCGCGCCGGGCTTTCCCGTGCCTGACGGAGCTGCGGCTGCGCCACTGCTTTTTCAAGGAAGGGTGTCTCCAGGCCATGGTCGACGCCGCGCCGGCGCTCACCAGCCTGTCACTGGACAGAGTCTCTCAACAGCCGCCGGATTCAGCCTTCCAGGCCATGCCGGCCTATTGCTGGGTGCCCTTCCGGCTCCGCTGCTTGACAGCCACCACCCTGGAGCTAAAGACCTACTCCGTGGGCGCTGAGGAGGAGGACCTCGCCCGCATCGGCATCGAGCTCGACATGCCGAGCCTGCGTTACTTCCGCTACACGGGGGACGCCATCAAGCTGTCGTTGGCATCGCCGGCGCCGGGTCTGTCAAGCGTCGACCTGAACGCCAGTCTCCGCGGAGAGCAGTCGCAGTGGGAGCCCACGTCACGTATGCTCGTAAGCTTCTCCAGCACAAGGGCCTTGAAGCTGCACGTCAACTGCATGAACGACATCATCTACGGCGAGGAGGAGCACGGCGGGGCCATCCTGCCAACCTTCCCGAACCTCAAGCTCCTCGAACTAGACGAATTCTTCGAGTACACGAGCAGCAGCGCCGCGTTGGCAATGGCGAGGCTGCTCCGCTCCTGCCCGGTCATGTCCGAGCTCCGGCTCAACTTGAACATGACGCGGTGGTACCGCGACGACGAGCCCAAGACCAATGATCCGGCCAGAAGCCCCTTCGCCCAATCCATGGACCGATTCAACAGGCTCGCATCCATGACTGCTTCCTCGCGTCGGGTCTCGGAGCTCCCCGCGGTCTTGACAGACGACGGCGCGTTCACCTGCTTGCAGACGAGTCTGCGGAAGGTGACGCTGCAGTTCAATGCCAATGAGTTGGACTGCTTCCAGGTCCAGCTCGCCAAGTTCCTGGTGGAGAACGCCATGGTTCTCGAGGAGATGCACGTCGACGACGGGAACACGTTCTGGCTGGACCACCTCTGCAACAAGCTCGAAAGATGGAGAGCTGATTCGTTCCGCAGGAGGAACCTGACGGACACGGCCCGCTTTCGGGTGCACCACCTAGAATAGCGAACCCCGTGCAAGTTTCTTAGGAACAAGCAGGAAACGAAGTAGTACTCCACATCTCAGAGTTGTACGACCACACCACTAAACCTTTCTTACTTATACATGTGGTTACATCCGATGTACAGTAATACTCCCTCCGTTCGGAATTACTCGTCCAAAAATGAATGTATCTAGATGTATTTCAGTTGTACATACATCCATTTTTATGACAAGTAATTCTAAACGGAGGGAGTACAATGGACGATCTCCTAGTTCAATGTACTGTATGTGAAACACCTCCTCATTCAGAGTTGAACAAAGCTTTGCGCATTCGAACGGTCCTCAGGTCTGTGCTGCTCCTAACCCTGAAAAAAATAACCTCATCATGTTATGACCGATTTGGTCTATACAAGGAAGAAGCCCACCGGGCATTAGTATTAGGGGCTTGACCCATAAGTTATCCTAGGCAAATTATTTTAGGCAAATTATCTTAGGCTAAATTTATAAATACTAGTTGTAAGACATCGTTTGAGATCAAGCAATAAAGATATTATCATCTTCTGTTGCCCGGCTCCCTGAGGAGCCGGAACCCTAGCCGACACCAGCCAACCGCCGCCGCCCCTAAACCCTAGCCGCGACAGCGCCTACTCGCCGGCGCGCCCGCTCCAGCCCACGCCCACCTCCACCTCATCCCTATAACCTATGTAGCCGCGCTGGTAGGAACCCTAGTCCTACCAATTTGGTATCAGGTACCCGGGTTTCGACCATGTCTTCGCCACCTCCAATTCCGCCGCCGCCACCACCACCGCCGCTGCCCATCAACTCCACCACCGCCGCTGCCGCCAACTCCTCCACCACTGCCGCTTCCGCGCCGGGCGTCACGGCCTCGCTCTCGGCGGGCACTACGGCGTCGCTCTCGGCGCCGACCCTCCCGGCGCCCGACACCGCGCCAGGCCACGGGCGGCCACCGACCCCCGTCCAACATACGCCGCCGCCGTCACCTCCCCCGCAGCCGCAGCAGTTCACACAGGAGGCAATGATCGGCGTCCTCAACGACCTAGTCGCCGCGGTCCAGGGCATCCGCCTCTACCTGGCAAGTCCGTACGGGCCGCCTCCACCACTACATCCCGCCATGGCCGCGGGTCCGCAGGCGCTGCCGTGGTACTCGGTACCGGGGGCCATCACCGGAGGCTACCCGGCGCTCCCCGCCCCGGCGGCCGCACCGCCGCCGTGGCCACAATGGCCGCCGCCGCCCGCGACGGCAACTGTGTCACTCGCCGCCACCACAGGGCCGCAGTGGCCCACCTGGACCGCGCCATCCGCGCCGTCTCCCGTCGCGCCGTCACTTCCAGCAGCCACGGAGCAGGGTCCTCCACCGTCCCATCCCAGCCCTAACTTGGGCCGGTCGTCGCCGAGCGGGCTTCCGATCCAGGAGGTCTGCTTTCCATCATCGTCATCACCACTCCCCGACTGGCTTCACGGGCCGCCATCGGCCTACCCGGGGGCCCGTCCGCCGTCCGGTTTCCCGTTGCAGCCCGAGGCGCCAGGCGCCACCGGGAACTACGCCGGGCCTTCCACCATGGACCGCGCACCATCATCCGCCCTACGCACCGCCGAGGCAGTGGGCCAGGGCGCGCCACACCAGCAGCCGCCCCGGTTCGCCAAGATCGACTTCGCCACATACGACGGCTCCGACGACCCGCTTAACTGGCTCAACCAGTGTGACCAGTTCTTCCGCGGACAACGCACACCCGCGTCGGAGCGTACTTGGCTGGCTTCCTACCATCTCCGCGGGGCCGCCCAGACATGGTACTACGCCCTCGAGTAGGACGAGGGCGGCATGCCCCCGTGGGATCGTTTTCGAGAGTTGTGCCTTCTTCGTTTCGGGCCACCGGTCCGCGGGAGCCGCTTGGCCGAGTTAGGCCGCTTGCCGTTCACCTCCACGGTGCAGGACTTCGCCGACCGCTTCCAGGCCCTGGCGTGCCACGCGCCCGGTGTGACGGCCTTACAGCGGGCGGAGCTTTTCATCGGCGGTCTTCCCGACCACATCCACGTGGATGTCGAGATGAAGGGGCCCCAAGACCTTCAGACGGCCATGTACTATGCCCAGGCGTTCGAGCAGCGCGCCCAGGCCTTAACGCGTCCATCCGTGCCACGTGGGGCCCGACAGCTTCCCCGGCCGTCTCCGGCAGCACCGGCGTCGTCCACAGCCGCCCCGGCACCCACCCCGGCACCGACGCGGCCATTCAGGCGCCTCACTCAGGCGGAACAGCTGGAACGCCGGCGCCTGGGCTTGTGTTTCAACTATGATGCGCCCTATGTACCGGGCCATGTCTGTCCCCGCCTCTTCTACCTGGAGATGACAGACGAAACTGAGGAGGAGACACTGGAGGATGGCCTCGGTGCTCCAGCCCTTGCGGAGCCCGCAGCGGCACCCGTGCCCGCCCCGGCCACCGCCCTCGTGGTGTCCCTACACGCGCTGGCTGGCATCCGTGATGAACGGATGATGCTCTTACCGGTCATGATCCAGGGCGAGCGCCTGGTGGCCCTAGTGGATACAGGGTCCACGCATAACTTCCTGCCGGAGACCACCATGCAGCGCCTTACATTACAGCCAACCGGCGGTGAGCAGTTGCGAGTCACAGTCGCTAATGGCGACCGTCTCCGCTGCCACGGGCTCGCCCGCGACGTGCCCATCACTATCGGCGACGAGCACTTCACCATCACCTGCGCCGGCATCGACTTGGGCTGCTTCGACTTCATCCTCGGCGTCGACTTCCTGCGCACACTTGGTCCTATTCTATGGGATTTCGACGCGCTGACGATGACCTTCTGGCGGTTGGGCCGCCGCATTCGGTGGGACGGCATTGGGGGTGCCGCCCCAACCACTCCACTCCAGCTGGCCACGACCACCGCCATGGCCGAGCACCCACTATTGGAGAGCCTCCTCCAGCAGCACGCGGACATCTTCACCGAGCCACAGAGGCTGCCGCCCGCCCGCACATACGATCACCGTATACATCTTCTGCCAGGCTCCGCGCCGGTGGCGGTACGGCCTTACCGCTACCCACAGTTGCAGAAGGATGAGTTGTCGCGGCAGTGTGCGCTCATGCTCGCGGCAGGCATCATCTGGCTCTCCACTTCGCCATTTACCGCGCCGGTGCTTCTCGTCCGCAAGTCAGACGGCACATGGCGTTTCTGCATCGACTACCGTGCCCTTAATGCTGTCACACTTAAGGACAAGTTCCCTATTCCGGTGGTCGACGAGCTCCTCGATGAGCTCCACGGGGCGCGCTTCTTCACCAAACTTGACCTTCGGTCGGGGTACCACCAGGTGCGCATGCACCCGGATGACATCGCCAAGACGGCGTTTCAGACTCATCACGGCCACTTCGAGTTCTTGGTGATGCCCTTTGGCCTCACCAATGCCCCGGCGACCTTCTAGGCTTTGATGAACGACATCCTCAGGCCCTACTTACGCCGGTTTGTGCTCGTTTTCTTTGATGATATTCTAATCTACAGTGCGTCTTGGGCCGAGCACCTCCAGCACGTCGCCATCGTCTTCAACGAGCTTCGAGCGCACCACCTCCACCTTAAGCGCTCGAAGTGCTCGTTCGGGACGCCTTCGGTGGCCTACTTGGGCCACGTCATCTCGGCCGACGGGGTGGCTATGGACGCCGACAAGGTGGCAGCCGTCTCCGCATGGCCGACGCCTCACTCGCCGTGGGCTCTCCGCGGGTTCCTCGGCCTCGTCGGCTACTACCGGAAATTTATCCGGGAGTTCGGGCTTATCGCGGCGCCCCTCACGCGGTTGCTTCGCCGCGACGCTTTCGCCTGGGACGATGAGGCGACGACGACGTTCGAGGCCCTCAAGGGGGCCCTCACGACGGGCCCCGTCCTCTAGATGCCCGACTTCGGCGGCCCGTTCGTGGTGGACTGTGACGCCTCGGGCGCAGGGTTCGGCGCCGTGCTTCATCAGGGCGATGGGCCCCTCGCCTTCTTCAGCCGGCCTTTCACTCCGCGTCATCTTAAGCTGGCAGCATATGAGCGGGAGCTCATTGGCCTTGTATAGGCCGTTCGTCATTGGCGGCCGTACTTGTGGGGACGGTCCTTCCAGATTTGCACCAACCACTACAGCCTGAAGTTTTTGCTGGACCAACGGCTGTCGACCGTGCCGCAGCACCAGTGGATCAGCAAGCTCTTCGGCTTCGACTTCTCCGTCGAGTATCGGCCGGGCCACCTTAACACCGTGGCCGACGCGCTGTCCCGTCGCGACTCCGACCTCGCTTCCTCCGCTGACGAGTCCGTCGGGGTGGCCCTGTGCATCCGCTCCGGGCCGACGTTCGGCCTCTTCGCCGACATTCGCCGCGCCACTGCGACGGCCGACGACGCCGTCCGTCTTCAGCAGCAGCTCACGGCCAGCGACCTGGAGGAGCCTTGGCACTTCTCTGACAGACTGCTCCTCCATGGGCGTCGGGTCTTTGTTCCGGCGCAGGATGATCTCCGTCACCAGGTGTTATAGCTCGCCCACTCGGCGGGTCATGAGGGTATGCAGAAAACCCTCCATCGTCTTCGCGCCGACTTCTACATCCCTGGAGATCGCGCCCTGGTCCGCGACTGGGTTCGGTCTTGTCAGACATGCCAGCGCAACAAGATAGAGACTCTCAGGCCGGCCGGGTTACTCCAGCCCTTGGAGGTGCCATCTCAGGTCTGGGCGGACATATCCATGGACTTCATTGAGGGCCTTCCCAAGGTGGGCGGCAAGTCGGTCATCCTCACGGTGGTCGACCGCTTCTCCAAGTACGCCCACTTCATAGAGCTCGGCCATCCATACACGGCGGCGTCCGTGGCCCGGGCCTTCTTCGACGACATCGTCCGTCTACACGGGTTCCCTGCTTCGATCGTCAGTGATCGAGACCCCGTGTTCACGGGCCATGTCTGGCGCGACCTCTTCAGGATGGCGGGTGTCTAGCTCCGCCTGAGTACGGCATTCCATCCTCAGACGGACGGTCAATCCGAGGTGG